TACAGGTTTTGGTAGCTTGCATCTTCATTGTTGTTATGCTCAAGGAAGTTAATAATTTCCTCTTTTATTTCTTCCTACACCCAACTGTCATTCAATAGAAGGTTGTTTAATTTCCATGCCTTTGTGTGGAGTTGAACGTTTTTGTTGGAGTTGAGTTCCGCCCTTGTGGTCTGAGAAGATACAAGGTAAAATTTTAATTCTTTTGATTCTGTTGAGGTTTGTTTTGTGTCCTAGGATATGATCAATTTTGGAGAATGTTCCATGGGGCGATGAGAAGAATGGGATGGAGTGTTCTATATGCATCTATCAAGCACAGTTGTTGTAGGGTCTCATTTAAGTCCCTTATATCTTTGTTTAATTTCTGTTTAGAGGATCTGTCCAGCTTTGTAAGAGGAGTATTAAAGTCCCCTGTTATTATGATATTATAGGAAATCATACTGAGTAATGTCTGTTTCCAGAATCTGGGAGCATTTAAGTTGGGTGCATAAATATTTAGAATTGAAACATCTTCTTGTTGTATTTTTCCCTTGACCAATATAATGTGACCATCTTTGTCTTTTGTGACTTGAGTTCCTTTAAATCCACATGTATCTGAAAATAAGATTGCAACTCCTCTTTTCTTCTGAATTCCATTTGCCTGAAAAATTGTCTTCCAACCCTTAACTCAGAAGTTTTTTGTTTTTTTGTTTTTTTGGGTTTTTTTGAGACAGAGTCTCACTTTATTGCCCCTGATAGAGTGCCGTAGCATCACAGCTCATAGCAATCTCCAACTCCTTGGTTTAGGCAATTCTCTTGCCTCAGCCTCCCAAGTAGCTGGGACTACAGGCGCCGGCCACAATGACTGGCTATTTTTTTGTTGCAGTTATGCTGGGCCAGGTTTGAACCCACCACCTGGCTGGGGCTGGGTTTGAACCCGCCACCCTCAGTATATGGGGCCGGCACCCTACTCTCACTGAGCCCGGCACCCTACTCACTGAGCCATAGGCACCCACCTTAACTGAGAGTTTTAATTCATCTTTTGAAGCTAGGCGTGTTTCCTAAAGACAGCAAATGGATGGTTTGTGTTTTTTAATCCAATCAGCCAATAGATGCCTCTTCAGGGGGGAATTCAAGCCATTAACGTTTATTGAGATAATTGATATGTGTGGTAGTGTTCTATTCATCTTATTTTGTGAGAGTCCATTGCTTAGTTTTATCTTTTGCATCAGTGCAGAAGTTAGGTTCTGTCTTTTAATTTCTGAATTCTTACTTTGCTGTTGATCCATTATGAAGGTCAGTGTGTAGAACAGGTTGAAGTATTTCCTGTAGAGCTGGCCTTGTTGTGGCGAATTTCCTCAGTGTAAATGATTTGATTTCTCCATCAATTTTAAGGCTTAGCTTAGCAGGATGTAGAATTCTGGGCTGGAAATTGTTCTGTTTAAGTAAATTAAAGGTAGATGAATGTTGTCTTCTTGCTTGGAAAGTTTCATTAGAGAAGTCGGCAGTCACCCTGATGGATTTGCCCCTATAGGTCAACTGGCACTTACTCCTGGCAGCTTTCAGGATCTTTTCTTTTGTCTTGACTTTGGACAGGTTCATCACAAAGTATCTTGGAGAAGCTCTATTTGAGTTGAGGTGACCTGGCTTCCAATATCCCTCTGAAAGGAGTGTGTCAGAACCTTTGGTGATATTTGGGAAATTTTCATTTATAATATTCTCTAGTATGGCTTCCATTCCCCTGGGGCATTCTTCTTCCCCTTCTGGGATACCTGTAACTCGTATGTCTGAACACTTCATATAGTCCCATAATTCTGTCAGTGAACATTCGGCTTTCTCTCTATTCTTTTCTGCCTCTTTAACTATCTGAGTCCTTTCAAGAGCTTTGTCCTCTATCTCTGGGATTCTTTCTTCTGCATGGTCTAATCTGTTGTTGATACTTTCTATTGCATCTTTAAGTTCCCAAATTGACTGCTTCAGTTCCTTCAGCTCTGCTATATCCTTTCTATATTCTTCATATCGTTCATCTCTTATTTGATTCTGTTTTTGGATTTCCTTTTGGTTATATTCTACTTTATCAGAAGTTTCCTTCATTATTTTCATCATTTCCTCCATTGTTTTCATCATCTGCATTCTAAATTCCCTTTCTGTCATTTCTAACTTTTTTTTTTTTTTTTGCAGTTTTTGGCTGGGACTGGGTTTGAACCCACCATCTCCAGCATATGGGGCCAGTGCCCTACTCCTTTGAGCTATAGGCACTGCCCTTCTAACATTTCTTTTTTTTTTTTTTTTTGAGACAGAGCCTCAAGCTCTCCCCCTGGGTAGCGTGCCGTGGCATTACAGCTCACAGCAACCTCCAACTCCTGGGCTCAAGCGAGTCTCCTGCCTCCGCCTCCCAAGTAGCTGGGACCACAGGCGCCTGCCACAACGCCCAGCTATTTTTTGGTTGCAGCCGTCATTGTTGTTTGGCGGGTCCGGGCTGGGGATTCGAACCCGCCACCTTAGGTGTACGTGGCTGGCGCCTTAGCCGGTTGAGCTATAGGCGCCGAGCCCAACATTTCTTTATAGGTGGAATCCTCTGCAGTAGCTACCTCATGGTCCCTTGGTGGGGGGTTGCTCTGGACTGGTTTCATGTTGCCAGGAGTTTTCTGCTGATTCTTCCTCACCAGTGTTTTCTTTTATCTGCTTCCTTGCCTTAATTTCCCTTTCACTTCCTCTTGCTCTTAAAGTTACCATGCCTCTGGACTGGGTTTTGATGAGTCCTTTTGGTATAGGAACAGAAGAATGAAAAGATTAAAGAGCAAGAAGGGAAAAAAGAACGAAGAAAAGCAAAGAGAGAAAGGAGAGGGGTGAGTAAAAGGGACTATTGACAAAAAGAAGAGAGGCACAGAAAGAGGGAGACAGGAGCAATATAGGTGTACAGCAGGGCACTTTGACCCAACCTTAAAGACCCCCAACCTCTGGGGGTGCCAGTTTGGGTGGTTCCCTTGAGGTCAGCAACTCTTTTCTAGCCTTTTTGTACACAGTACCCCACCTCCACCAAGTAGAAAGGAAAGACAAAAATGCTATAAATCAAACCAAAACAAGCAAACAGAAAACTTTACAGGATAAACTTGGGGGAAAAAAACAAATAATAGGGGTAGAAACACTAGCAAAAATGAAGTTCTAATTGTTAAAAAGGCAACAATGGAAAATTATATTTAAACTAGAACAATAAAAAAAAGGAAAAAAAAGAAGCAAAAAATCTATAAGGAAAATGTTGAAATTATAAAACAAAAACAAGAAAAAAAAAAACCCAAAACAAAGCAGTATAAATATCTTTTATTTATAAAAACAGGTGATCTTCTGGGGTATGAGATGTTAATCACAACACTGATAAAGGTTGTACGAGATGGAGACTGGAGGCCCCTGCTGATTTCTCAAACCCCGAAGGGTGGAGAGCCTAAATCTCCTCAGCCCAATTAAAAGGCACTTTAAACTGCTAACCTTGGCCAAGCAGAAGCTTTCCCAGGAAAGCACTTGTCACTGGGATCACTCCTGAAGTGGCTGTCCACTTACCCAGTGTGCCAAAACCAGTCTCACTCTATGCTCCTGAGGGCCAAGGCTGTAAGGCATCTCAGTCCCCCCACACACACACCTTAGGCTGCTCAGTCACTAGATTACTCAATCCCACCTGATCCTTGCTCTGCGACCCTGAGGGTGGAGATTGCAAGGGCAGTTCTCCCACAATGGCTACATGCAGCCCACAGCCAGACATTATTAGCTCCATCTGGCTCAGCGGCTTAGTCTGGGGCCCTAGACAATGCTTAACATCCTCCACACTCTTACCCAAGTTCTCCCAAGGTAGTTCAACTGAGTGCCAAGTCCAAAAGAAACCAAAACAGCTCACAGGTAAGGTCTTTCTAGTTTGCAATCTCCCTGCTGCTGTACTTACAGCTGCCAGTGGGATTAGACCGAACAAACACACACAAACATTTGGCAGTTCTCCACCGCTTTTGTCCTCTTCATGTGGTCGAGAAGTCTCCTGCTGACTCCCTGTGTCCCAAAAGGGATGTTTCTGGGCAGATCCCACCAGCCAGAGGTGCCTAGAGTCTTCTCTCCCCAGACTCACCACGCCCAGTTGCCAAACCAAAGATTTTGATCAATCTAATTCTGTGCATAGAAGAAAAACTTACAAGGTCTGACAACTAAGTTCACAAACTTGCCTCCATGTGCTTATATGTTGGCAGCACTATATAAACAAATCAGTAAAGTTTCATAATCTTGGTATATCAGCTTCTCATAGCTCTGTTCATGTCAATTTACGGCAGTGTCTTGTTGAGTGGCATTCAGTTATTACTGCATGTTTTTGCATGTCATCTCCAGAATGTCAGAACTTGAATTAGAGCAACAAACACTAAATTTCTTCTTAAACTTGGGAACAGTAGAAGTGAAATCAGTGACATGTTATTCCAGGTTTATGGGGATAATGCCATGAAGAAAACTTCAGTGTACAAATGGATTAAATGTTTTTCTGAGGGGAGAGACAGTGTCACAGATGAAGAAGTGTCAGGGTGTCCAGCAACAAGCAGAATTGACTAAAACAATGCAAAAATTCATCAGGTTATGTGTCAGAATTGTTGGTTGACTGAAAAGCATAGCAGACCAAGTAAACATAGATAGAGAACTAGGAAAATTTTAAATGAAAATCTTGGTATGAGAAAGGTGTGGCTCTTGCCTCACGACAATGCATCAGCTTGCACGGCATTGCCTGGGAGGGAGTTTATAGCCAGTAAACAAATAACTGTAGTGGAACATCCTCCTACTCACTTGATCTGGCCCTCAATGACTTTTTTTCTTTACCTAAAGATAAGGGAAATACTGAAAAGAAAGATATTTTTGTGACATTCAGGACATCAAGTTTAATATGACAAAAGATCTGATGGCCATTCAAGAAAAAGAGTTCCAAAATTGCTCTGAAGGAGGGACTAGGCACTGGCATCAGTGTATAGCTTCCCAAGGGGAGTACTTCAAAGGTAACCATAATGATATTCATCAATGAGGTATGTAGCACTTTTTCTAGGATGATTTTTTTTATTTGAGACAGAGCCTCAAGCTATCCCCCTGGGTAGAGTGCCATGGCATCACAGCTCACAGCAACCTCCAACTCCTGGGCTCAAG